CATGTAGAGTGAAAAATCAAGAGTCCTTCCTATCTCTAACCTCTAGTCCTCCCATTCTTTTCCCCCAGAGGTAAATGCTCATATCATTTTCTTGAATATCTTTCCTGATATTCTACACATAAAAAAGCAACCTAATAAAAAATAGGCAAAAAATTTGAGCAGACACTTTACCAAAGATACAAGGATGGAAAATAAACACATTAAAAGATGCTCAGCATCACTAGTCATTAGGAAAATGCAAATTAAAACCATAATGAGATACCACTAAACACCTATTAGACTAGCTAAAATTAAAAAGATTGACCTTTCCAAAAGCTGGTGAGGATGTGGAGGAAATGGAACTCTCATACACTGCTGGTGAGAATGTAAAGTGGTACACTTTGGAAAACAGTTTGGCAGTTTCTTGACAAGTTAAACATACTTGTCAACTGATTCAACCATTCCACTCTGAGGTATTGAGCCAAGAGAAAAGGAAATATATGTGCACACTAAGACACGTGCATGATATTCATAGCAGCTTTATTTGTAAAATAGAAACAACCCAAATGTTCAACAACAGAGAAATGGATGATCAAATTGTGGTACATCCATACAATGGAACACTATTCAGCAATAAAAAAGAATGAAACTTTGATATGTACAATAACATAGATGAATCTCAAAATAATTATGCTGAATGAAAGAAGCCAGGACTTCCCCATTTTAAAAAAATCCCATTTACATAAAACTCTAGATAATGGAAACTAATATATAGTGACATAAAGCAGATCAGTGGTTGCTTGGGATGAGGGTGGGGAGACGTTGGGGGGAAGGATTACGAAGGGACACAAGGAAACCTTTAGGGGTGATGGGTATATCCACTATCTTGATTGTGGTGATGGCTTCACAGGTTACACATGTGAAACTTATCGAATTGTTCTCTTTAAATATATGCAGTTAAGTGTGTTTTAATTATATCCCAATAAAGCATTTTTCAAAAAAGCATGCCTGTGTATAGATAGTCACATAAAGACCACACGTATCATTTTTAAAAAATTTTATTTTGTTGTTGTTGAGAATATACACAGCACAACATACACCAGTTCATGTCTACATGTACAATTTACTGACACTGATTCTTCTACAAGTTGTGCAACCATTTTCATTCTCCTTTTCTGAGTTGTTCCTCCCCCATCAACATAAACTCACTGCTCCCTAAGGTTCCTATCTAATCTTTCAAGTTGCTGTTGTCACTTTGATCCCATATAGGCAGCTCTGAAAAGAGCGTAATGCTCAAGGTAGACCATACTGTACTAGTTAAGCTAAACTATTGTTTGGTTTTAAAAAGACTACAGGGATATTTTTGGTTTAAGGTTTAAAGATTATCTCAGGGCAATCAATAGTTTCAGGGGTTCATCCAGCCTCCATGGCTCCAGAAAGTCTGGAGTCCATGAGAATTTGAAATCCCACTCTATATTTTCCCCCTTTTAATCAGGATTCTTCCATGGGATCTTTGATCAAAATGCTCAGTAATGGTAGCCAGGCACCATCCAGTTCTTCTAGTCTCATGGCAAAGGAAGCAGTTGTTCATGGAGGTGATTAGCCACACATTCCATTTCTTCCTCCTATTCCTCACACATATCATTTTCCCCACTTAACACCATATCTTAGTGATCATTTCATATCAGTATATAGTAATTAATATTTTATTTTTAACAGCTATATAGTATTCCATAATATATATACCATAATTAATCTATTCCTACTGATGGACATTTATAGTTTTTTCCTTTACAATCAATGCTGATAGGCATATCCTTGTATATAAATCTTTTTGCATCTATAAGATAAATTCTTAGGAGTTGCTAAATCAAAGAGTATGTTCATGTAGGATTTTGTTAGAGACTGTCAAATTGCCTGTTTCTCTCACTGGCTCCAATCATGTCTGCTCAGAAATGGAAGGGATGGTTCCACCATGGGTTAAAGGAACTGCCAAGTACTTAGCTGAGTTCCACAAAAGGGGATTTCCTTCATGATAACTCTCCTAAGAGATGACAGTGCAGTCCTGGTTTGCAGTCACTCTGCTTCCAAAGTTTTCTCTGGCAATAGGATCATCTTGAGATAGTTGTGGCGAATCAAGGTATCTACCATGGTGCCTGCTTTACCTGACTGATCACAGGGAAAGACAATTGAAGGGCTGGGCTACTGTAAGATGGTGATGCAGTAGTTCATGAAGAGGCAACAGCATCTGACAACACGCATTTCCAAGCATAACATCCACTGCAGTTCAATGCAGGGCAATTTGATTCTTCCATTTCTCTCTGAGTATTTATTGAGCATCTATTATATTCATTGTACTGGGAAATTCCCTCAAGGAGCTCACAGTCTTTTGTGTGTGTGTGGCGGTGGGTGGAGGGAGACAGAAAAGTACCCAGTGAGCATAACACTCAGTGACTAATTTTTTTGGGGGTGGGGGAACACAAAGGAAATTAAGTGGCACTGAGGAGGGGCAGGTCAGGAAGTCTTCTCAGAGGAAGTGACATTTAGGCAGGGTTTTAGAACAAGGAGGAAGCATTTCACAGGTAGGCTTGAAAATAAAGCCATTCCAGAAAGGACTTTACAAAGGTATTGGGACGTCAAGTCACTTGGGATGATGCAAATGTGTGTGTTGTTAGGTGGAGAAGTGATGGGATGAAGCAGGAAGGAAAGGCAGGGTAGAGGCAGTGAAGGTCCTATGTGCCAGCTTTGACCCATAGGCAGCACGAGCTGGTCAAGGTGGTAAGAAGGAGCCAGTGGTTACGGAACTATCGGAATAGCCTCCATCCCTAGAGAGAAATTGTCAACTTTAACACGAACTCACTTTGAGCCAGGGTTTCTCAGTCTTGGCACTGTTGACATTTGGGGAGAGACAATTCTTTGCTGTGGGGGAGGGGAGCTGTCTTGTGCACTGTAGGATGTTTAGTGGCATCTCTGTCCTCTACCCACTAAATGCCAGTAACAGCCACCCCTGTGCCCCAGTTGTGACAACCAAAAATGTCTCCAGATGTTGTCAAACATTCCCTGGGACAGAAGCAAAACTGCCCCCATGGAGACCACTGGAAAGGCTGTGACCCAGTGCTCCACAGTTCTAAGGAGGATGAGCCACAGGGTGCTTGAGGAGGCACCCCTTTGTATGGAGAGAACAGGACGTGGGCAAGACTTCATCTGAGGACTGAGATTTGGGTCACAAGCTTACAAACACAAGTGAATTGGTGTAAAAACTTAATACCTACAGTGTGCCAGGCACTGAGGATACAAATGTAATGGTGTGAGTTAGTTACTGAGGGATTTAACATCTCATTCTTTCACCTCCCCCCCTCCTCCCCACTAAGGAGATGCTAACATTCTGCCCCCATTCCCCACTAAGAAGATGCCAACATTCTAAGAGTAGCAGTTTGTCCTGGAAGGGGGCAAGGAGAAAAGCGGGGCAGCTAGAGAGCTGTAGGAGAGGTTCCTGAGACTGGGAAGTGGTGGGGATGTGTGTAGGGGGTGTCACTGATGTCAGCCTGTGTCTTGCTCCCTGTGTCCCACTCCCTAGGTGCCCCTGGGAAGGGCAACGCCTCAGGGGAATGGCTGTCGGGTACCCCAGGAAGATGGAACACCAGGCCCAGGGGCTCCTTGGCAAAGATCCCTGTGCCCAAGGGTGACATAGAAGCAGAGGAGCTGGTGGCTTCAAGGGGCTACATGGGCTCGGATAGTGAGATTCTCAGTGGGATCCAGGGTGGATTAGAGTGCCTGCCCCAAATGTGCTGGACTGTGCAAGACTCTTGGGAGCTTTGCACAACCCCAGAGGCAAAGGGGAAGGGATTATGATCAAGACTGATTTTTTTGCTAGCCCAGTAGAATAGAGGCTCTGAGTTAAGATTTAATGGAACTTAGAGAAGAGTTATGTGACATAAAGAGTTATGTGCATAAAGTTCACACATGATACAAAGACACACATAACATGGTCTTAGCTCGTCGGAGAGCTGCAGTCTAACAGGAAACTCCTCCAGTCCCACATTCTTGAGAACCTTCTGAGAAATTTTGTGCTGCTATTTTTTATTTGATCCCTATGACAACTGCATGAAGTTGTTAGAATCCACTTTTGTAGACAAGAAAACTGAACGCAGAGTGGTTTACGGACTTGCCCATGGCCTAAAAGCATTAGGTCCAGTTCCAGAATATAGGACTTCTGACCCCAAGCCCCAATCTTTCCAATACACCAGGCAGCACTGCTGATTTTGGTTTCACAAGGGTCAAGGAAACTTTGGTTAGGCAAAGGGCAGCTGATTGTTATCAGGAGTACTGTGATTTGCAGCAAATCTCTTGGCCTTGTTTCCTTATCTGTAAAAGGGGAATACTACCTCAGTAAGTGAATAGAATCTTATACATGTGTGTGCACGTGTGTATATGTATGTATGTACAGGAAGTAAGCAAAGTGCTGGGTTAACTTCCTTCCTGTTTAGGAAGATATGCTACGCAGCTATGCAGGGTTGAGGTGAGAGGCGTTAGATGAGGCAGGGAACCCAGCTGGGAAGGCGGCTGCTACAGGCACTCAGGTAACAACATGCAATGGCGGACAGGAGGACTGAGGACTTATACCAGGCAAAAAATAAAAAGTGCCATACTCTCAGCATACTACCCATAAGAGAACTGTAACAAGAATTAAGTGCCACATTCATTTAGAGATGAGCTGTCACTTTGGAGGGGAAAGATCGTCTAAACCATACCTTTTGGGCACTCAGTTAAAAGTAGCTATCAACCACATTTGCCTGCTCCCCCTCACGCTGTAAGCAATTTCATCAGTAAAAGACTTATCAGATGTTTGAAAATACATAAAAGCAATGTACTAGTTAAGAGAAAGTGGCTGTTCCCTAGAGCTTATCTCAAGAGAACATGTAAAAAAATAATCCTGAGGCGGGCAACTGAATACCACAGGGCAGGATAACAAATTAAAAGATAACTTTAGGAGGGTGAGAATATAGTAAAGCGATCTCTGGAATTCTTCTAAGCTGAACTGCAGACTTTTCAGCACTCAATCCTTTTAGCTGTTAAGTATCTTCAGAGGGTTAAAAACAAAACACTGCTTTGCAAGGTGAGCAGCTCTGCCGAGGTTGGGAAATCTCAGCCAAGCCTGGCTGAGCCAAAGTCGTCGGGTTAAAGCGTATTCCTCTCTGCTCCAACCCAGTCGCACAAATCCGGAATCTTCAGAAGGAAGATACGGGTTCTTCTCCTGGCTTTTGCTTTAGGAAGAGGAAATGTCCTGACAGCAAACAGCACTCTGGCTTCAGTGAGATTCTCCAGTCACCTGTTTGTTTACTTCCAGGCACCTCTGAGATCAGATGTGGGTGTGTTGAGGCAGTGTCAGATCTTTTTGCAATGAAAGGCCAGAGTAAATGGGAGGGGGCCCCCCCCGTCAAAGCCTTTTCACATGGAAAGGAAACACACCACCAACTTAGTTCAGATGCCACTAGTTGAGGATATCTGGTGATTTGCTTTGTCAGGCTCTCACACTCTCTTTATCTCAATTATGCTGTTATTTTAAAAAAGGGGTGAAGAGAACATGAATAAGAACAGTTGGAGAAGTAATGGGAAATGAGGTTTATCCAAATTCTCTGGCGGGGTAGAATATCAAGCTCTGATCCCAGGATAAAAACAACATTATTTAGGGAGGATGAGAACCTGTTTTTCTTGCTAAATTCTATAATTTTAGATACTATCATTCCTCTTGAAATTTCAAGATAAGAGATTCTCCTTCACATTTTGGGCTAAAATATTAGTGGAATGTTTTTATGATGTTTTTAAAACGATAGGTGACAGCTTTTTAGCACCTATACTGTTCTATTCTGGGTCTTAGGACATCAAGAGAAATATTTATCAGCAACGATTTCATAATCACTATTGTCAAATTAAGGTGCCCTAGTGGCTCAGTGCTTAAGCACTCGGCTGTTAACCAAAAGGTCGGCAGTTCGAACCCAGAAGCCCCTCCACAGGAGGAAGACGTGGCCGTCTGCTTCAGTAAAGATTACATCCTTGGAAACTCTATGGGACAGTTCTACTCTGTCCTGTAGGGTCGCCAGGAGTCAGAATCAACTCCGCGGCCGCGGGCTTGGTTTGGATTCGCAAACTGCCTCACTGGTTACTGTTCCAATATTCTAACATAAACAACTACAGGCACAACCATTTAGATTTCTAATTTATTATTAAATTACATAACAAAGCTTCTTCTATACAGTCAGAAAAATGCACATTAGATGAGAACAAAATTAAGTACAAATACAATAAAATTGGTTCCAGAAGCTATTTTAAAAGCAAAAAATTAGAAAGTGCATTTGGAAAAGAATAGATTAAAAAAATCTGTATTGGCATTTTTCATGAGGAAACATCTTCCATCATGGTAAAGTGATTGGGATTGATCTCTCTCCCTCTCTAGGAGCTACCAGGATGGGAATGGATGTAAATATTTTGATACTAAAGTGAGATCTTAGGTACAAAGAAAATGAGAAAGGTCCCTCAAAACATGGCTCAGCTTTGTCTCAACTTCTTATCCTAAAAAACACTCGTTCCTTCCTCATTTCCTTTTCCCTTATAAAACTTAAGGGTTTGCAGATTTATAAAGGAATAACAAGATTAATTTATTAAGACCATGATGAAAAGCTCTGCATCTTTTTGGAGACTGGGCTAAATAACTCCAAACTCAACAGGAGAGGGAAACACAATCACCGTAACTTTCTGAGTAGTAGAATCCATTTGTTCTTTAGTTACATCTGCCACAGAATTCAGCGTAATGTCAGACATGGCTATTTATCCCCAACAGCTTAATATTTCAAGTTAGAAAACTCAATCAATTTCCAAAAATCACACCTGGTTAATGATCAAACATGAGGTATTAGAAACCAAAAGGGCTAGTCCAGTTCTTTACAGTCGTTTTTGTCAGGTTGAGGTCTTTAACAGAGAAACAGGAAGTTAATGGTGGAATGCAAGTCCAGGGTGCCTCAACTGCCTAGAGGCCAAAGTCACTGGTTGATTTACATCAAAAGGCTCACTAAGTACATTTTTCTATTCAAGATGTATTCAGCATCCAATATGAACAAACTAAATATTATCTGGTTTTAGGTACAAAAAGGCCCTCACGGGGTCTCCTCTCACCACATGCCTCCATTCTCAGGGTTTTACTCCCATGCCTGATCTGAGTACCAGGCAGCATGAAAGAAGGCATTCTCTGTACAAGTGAATTTTGGTACAAAGGAGAGGAACAGTGAAACAAGGAAGGCCCTTTTCTAACATCACACAAACCGTGAGCAATGCCGGTCACAGGGAGTTCTTCAGCATCATCAATAATAATTTAAAAAAAGAATGTAGAGATTGCCAGAATGGATGAACTAAAGCACCTGAATATCTGGGCTTGAATTTGAGTGACAGATTTATTAAACATTTTACTAAGGTCATCAGTGCACATTAAAACAAAATAGCAAAAATACACCTTTTGGAATTTTCTGTCCTTTCTGTTGCCATGGTTTTTCATATTTTTTAGTAAAATGGGAAGTTCTGAGTGATTACTAAAAAGATCCAAGAAGAAAAGATTCATTATATAAGACAATGGCTGAGGGAGAATAACTTCCTTTAAGAGGCAACATTTCTTTGGGACCAGGAATAGAGAATTCCTTCTGATCTCTGGTTCTGACTATATAAACAAGTAACTTACTGTTGGCCCCTGAGCCTAGCAACTGGTCTGTAAGGAAGACAGCAAAATATGGGAGAAAAACAACATGCTTAAAAAAAGAAAAAACTTGAATAGCATGAAATTGAGTGTTCAAATCAGCTACTACGGGATCCAAACTGAGCCCCTTCCTGTAAATGGTACGTATGCCTCCATCTCCTTGCTCTAGGGTCTCTTTCTACAAATAAAGGAACCCTAAGAGGAACGGAAGAGCACTATCCTCACTATCTACTTTTGGCCCTGGATCACCTCATTATGGGCTACAGCGCTGGGAGGTTAGTCAGACCTGTCTGACACCAACATCTACATCAAGCTTTTCAACTTCCTTGGAAGAACTGGTCTCTTATTTCCATAAAGAAAATAACCAACATAATTCTACTACTTCATATAAGCATAATCCTAATGGAAAGACTCATCAACCATCAAAATTGTCTGCTTAGCTGGAGCGAGCCAGATTAGCTCGTGTCCTAGTTTTACCCTCACAATCAGCTTTAACGAATGTAGCAAATAATCAGACCAGTAAAAAAGACTGGTAGTATAATTAAATAGCTTTATTTATGATACTTCAGATTTTATAAATGCCTACTATATAGCAACCGAAAGCCCTATAAATTCTAGCTGAGGCATAACCACCAATCAAGGCCCTTTGAAAAATCAAAGATAATAAAGTGTCAGGGGAGAGAAGTTTCGTTCTCTCATCAGAGAATTTAATGAACGTACTTCCCTGACCCTTTAAGGTTCACAGTGGGAAAACTTAACTTTCTTTTAAGGGCATCGTCCCCAGTCAACTAACTGATCAACCCATATTTAGAAAAATAAACCCCATAATTAAAAAAAATATGTATCAAATGCCCTTCATACCCAGAATGTAACAAAAACTTTGACACCAGAATGAAAACCCTCTGCAGTCTCTGTATCACACCGGGTGTTAGTCTACCATCAGCCTGTTTTATCAAGTTCATCTGAACAACAGCATTTACGTACATGATGTTGTTAAGAATTACATGCAAATATCCTCTTATTTCCTATAGCAGTTTGCAGCCTATAAATACCATAGTAAATTCCAACCATGAAGAGCAACCTTCTTTCTTGGTGAGGCAGGTAGATACTGGAAGTCTTCAAACATCTGTGGTAGTTCAGTTAGACAAGACAGGTAATACATTTCCAAAAACTCAGAAAATGGTTAAACCTGAAAAGAATTCTGGCGGCTGGTGGAAAATTTTGTCACTGTCCAGAGATGGTAACAGAAGTCAAGTGCAGATGGAAACAGATTCTGCCACGTGTACCTTCAACAGTGAAGCCATTCTTTGCTGTTTGAAGTTTCACAGGTTTGGAATGAATTGGTTTCACAGAACACAGAATTCCTGGTACATCAGGCAGTAGTTCTTAAACTTTTGCTCATAAATCATGAAGCATTTACAAATGAAGTTATCTAGAAGGTGACCTCTCACTGAACTTCTACACGTTGCTTGTGGAACTGATCTCACTGAGAACTGAGCAGTCTCTCACTCAGTCTCAGTGGTAATCTTGACTTGATGAGAAATAGTTAGGGGGCACTGACAGGCACTGGCTCTTTTGTCATGGCAAAACTGAAATTTCATTTTCTTGCAGTAGCAAATATTAATTCAATGGAAGAAATAAAAAAATTAAAACAGTGACTGACAAAAAAATTCTGTCACTCTTGATGTTTCTGAGTGATAGTTAACCCCAGTGTGCTCGTAATAAAAAAGAAAACAAAAAAACAAAAAATGCCTTTTTGCAGTGTCTGTCCTCCATTAACTGACAACTTCTGCCATGCTGAAGTTGGCCTGTCAGCATCTCAAAGAATTCACGAAAGATAGACTTTTCCTTGAATAGCAGAAGAATTGGGGACACAGAGTAGAAATCTACAGTACAGATTATCAAGAACTGACTTGTGATTTCTTGTCATAAGTGTAAAATAAAAAGAGAAGAGCTATTTTTATTCATAACCCCATCTGGTGGCTGAAAGAAAAGCAGCCTTTGAATATAGAGAAACCTGGTTCTCTGAAGAGTCTAGCCGTGAGACTCAGCATGTCATCAGGCTTCAACATTAGCACGGAGGCACAAGGACTGTTTCTGATTGGTTTACTTACCTCCCGGGGAGACAGAAGGAAATGAAAATTTATTTTTTAAAACTAAAAATGGAGAAGTGTGTGTTAGAAAAGACTGCACAGGAAAACTGTGGCTTCAGCTTTATCTGACCATGTCACAGAGTCCATCACTATCAGTCTTGAATTAATCCTGCTGGTCAGGCTAATTAACAGGACAGTCAACTTCTCCCTCCCACTTTTCCTTAGTCCAGATCAGAGTGTAAAAGCGGTGGTTGCCCAGAGTCCTGGAGATGTCCCATCAATGGAAAGCGTACAGCAGCAACAGGATGGTACAGATACCAATAACACCACCCAGGATGAGTGAGTCTCGCCGCTTCCTAAGGTTGATCCGCTGGATCAGGCTGTTCACAGCAGGAAAACGATCTTTGGGAAATCTTTATTAAGGTCATATTCGGAAGAAGCCTCTTTAGGGAGAAGTCACAGAAATCACAAAAACAGAGATCAGTGGGATCCAGATACATTTAAGTGATGAGAAGAAACAGAGGGGAAGAAAATCATACTGCATGAGCCTTTAGCAAAGCCCAAATGGGCGTGCTCTACTGCTCAACATCCCAAACAAATTCAAGTCTTCCTCCCTTGTGTGTGGTACACAAATAAGAATAAAAGAAAAAAATTAATAGAGAGGGAGAAGAAAATAATAAAGATGCCAGCTAACATGTATTGACTGTTTACTACCAGGCTTCAGTGGGAGCCGGTGTGGCCAGGACAAAGTAACCCTGTAGGACCACGAAGCAGAGGCACAGCCAGCCATTACCACTACCACCATCACCACCATCACCGCCCCCGTTCCATTTCTGCCCCCTTTCCTTTGCCTTTATCTCCTTCTCTCTCTCTCTTTTCACCCCTTCTCCCAAGAGACTGGGGAATTTTGCCTGAAGAGTAGTGAAGAAGTACCTGACCCTCTCCCCACAGGGAGATTTCTCTGGATTCAGGCAATAGATGGGAAGCACCTCTAGAGTCTATATAATTGGTCACTGGTAAATTACGAAAAAATTTTTGCTTTGCAGTCATTAGGCAGGATATGGTAGGAAAGTGGGTTAAACTAACATAAAACATAAAAGCATGAGAACATAAACAAAAAGAATATAAAAGAGGAAAGACAGGACATTCTTCATTTTAGGGGTTTTATATCAGTCACAACTGCATTTTTACTTAGTATTTTGTAATATCTTCATACTCTTACTTGCTTGTATACTGCAGACCAGAGCACATACCTGTGCTTCCTACACTATTCTGTACTTCTGATAACAGTTTCTGACAATACACCTGCAGGTCCACCCTCTTTGTTAACAGAGGTATTTGTCAAAGTCAGGAAAACCAATGACAAAAGCCACCTAGGATGAGCTGGAATAATCCATTCCCTATGAATCCTCGCTGCATTTTCCTGTAACAAAATGATACCAAGGTCTGTATTTACTTGTATGCTTATATAGTCTATATATTGTATGATTAAAACCATGTCTTCTTCTAATCTTGAATTTCCCTGTGACTAGAATACAGCCTTACACACCATAGGCATTAATGTGTTTCTTCAATAAACTAATTAATGAAAACAGAACCAGTTGCAGAAACAGTTTTAAAAATGCAGAAGAACAGGAAGCTCTTATCAAAGCTCATCTGTACCAGGCACTACGCTAGCCTCTGGGACACTGCCTTGCCCTAAGAGAACTTAGGGTTTGCTAGGGGGGACTGACTTGAGCATAGACACACGATAAACAGGTGGTATGAGTCAAAACTGACTCAACGGCACACAACAACAAGTAGCTTCTGCTCTTGATGATAAGCAAGTTCATCATATTTAAGAAAGACAACTTGACTCCATGTAAAAAGCAATGGTGACTTAAAATGTGAAACTTCAAATGTGCTATTTACTATCTGTTGACCTAAGCCAAGCCACTTCTCTAAGCCCAATTCTTCGTTTGTAAACCAATAATAATATCTACATTCCCTCCCTTTTGGCAATGATAAAATGAGATAATGTACATAAAACTACTCTGCAAACTATACAGTCCTGTATTAAAGAAACGTTATTCTGCTGTTTGGTTTTATATTTAGGATGACAAAGCCAAGAACAAAATTCACAGAAAAGTGAATATGAACAACTTCAGGATATTCTTTTCCTTAGGTAAATAAGATATCAAACTAAAAAGTGACTTTAAGATACTCAACTTTTGAAAATTATAGGTCCTTTCCCCTCTGGAGCCCTGGTGGCGCAGTGGTTAAGAGTTACGGCTGCTAACCAAAAGGTTGACAGCTCGAATCCACCAGCCACTCCTTGGAAACCGTATGGGGGCAGTTCTACTCTGTCCTATAGAGTCGCTATGAGGTGGAATCAACTCGACGGCAATGGGTTTGGTTTTTTTTTTTGTTTGTTTCCCCTTAAGTAGTTGGGGAAGGAAGCCTTAAAAGGCTTGACTTATTCTCAGAGAATAAACAAAATGTTGTAGAGTAGCAGGCTTATCAGCTTCCCCATTGGGTTTCCTAGAAGTATTTTACTCTATCTAAATTGGGAAACTGAGGAATTGAACAGGTAGAGGTCACAGCAAACAAGCAGAGAATCTATCCTAGAATTCAGCTTGTGCATAGCAAGTTACATTGAAAATACTCTTAGTGGTAGCTACAACTCGTCTACTTATATGGCTGTCTCCTTCCTTCTCCTTCTAAGCATCTGCCACTGATTTATTCTCTAAGCTGAAAAAATAAAAAAGAGAAAGCACATAATTTATAATGTTTAGGTAAAAATGAGGTATAATGTGAAGTTCTAACATGGATTCAAGAGCTTTAAAATTTGTGAATAATTTTTAAATTCACATAATTTTTTCTAAATCTACTATTCTGTAACACGGTATTATACCTCTGGTGTGCAAACTTTCAGAAACAGTACTAAAAACATGAAATTTCACAAACTAGGAGTGTGGGGTACATTCATATTATGTAATTACTGATGGGCTCTACAGATGATTACAACCTGCTGAAAAAAGCACACACATCTTTTTTTTCCCCCAAACACCCCCACCCCCTGCCCCCAGGATCTCAAACTTTCAAAAAGGATACTGGCCAAAGTGTTCATTTTGCTCTGAATTGACTTCAACATTCCTCGCTGTGAGGTCATATTTTCTTTTGTTGCCATAGCAATGCTGCAAGGGGGAAAAGAGAAGGTTATTAAAATGGCATTTAAGATTATCCTGTATGAATCCATCATGCCACTACAAGTGAACAGACAATCAAGGTGAGCAACATAATCTTGAAAAGCCCTGGGCAGAAAAATTTAACAACAACAACAACAACAAAAAAATCACTTCTCAAGCCACCTTCCCATTATCCTTTTTCTGCTGATCCTGAAGAACCATTCCATCCCACTGCCATTCTCTGGTATCTTTTTGTACAAGACACGAAGCCAATTCCTGTGTTTTTTCAAAATAACAAATGAAATAACACATTAACAGAAAAATCACATTTTACAAAAGCTTCATGAAATGGTTTTAAAATGGGTGAGCTACTAAAATATCCTTAGTCAGGAAAAACTGTTGAAAGGTAAGTAGGGAGTTACAATTATAAAAAGAGAACCAAAAGTATAGCCAGCCCTCAATTTATGAAGAGATTATGTTCCAAAATTCTATCTGAGAACCAGTTAGGCAGACTTTGGGATATACACACAAGATTCTACTGTGTTTCCAAGCCAGCTGACAAAGATCACAGATTCATTAAACATGATTGAGAGAAGGTAATAAGTCACTCTGTAGAGTACAATGTCTTACATGTGACACTGATGTGCTGTTTAAAAGAATCTGAGTTTATCTCTTTTTGTTATCACTTCTAAAATTACTACTTTTCCATAGGCTTGTCTACCTGGACATCAAAATCCCAGCAGGCAGGTCAGTGTCCATTTGATACGTAACACACAGGCGAGTGCTTTAGATATTGATATCATAAAAAGCAACAGGAAAAAAAATACTGTTCGGCAATTCTGAAAACATCTGAAACATTAAAAAAAAAACAAAAAACAAAAAAAGGCAATAGAGATGAGGAGATTCTGGGAAGATGGTGGTCAGAGCATAGATCCTAATGTCATCTTTGGCTATTTCCCTCCATGAAGTAACACAAGACCAAAGGCAAGCATGCTGGAGAGGGTCTGTATGAAGCCCCAAGTTCTCTTGAGAGCTCCAGGGAAGAAAGCCAGGTGGAGGGCTACACACTTAAGCGAGGAGAGAATCAGGGAATTGATGGCAGGGAAGACTAGATTTTCCTTTGACTGGTTTCACTGCTGCCTGAGGAGCCCAAACTGTGGAAGACTATGGATCTGTATGTACAGAGGCTGCAGTGGTGAACTGAACTGCTCCCAGTTCCTGCAGCTGGAAAGACAACTACTCAGAGCCAGTGAGACCTGTGAGCGGAGAACTAACAGTCTACCAGCTAGTGTGATGTCCAGCCCCTGCTCCAAAGTCTCTAAACCTGAGAGCTAAGTGAATCCATTTTTGGACAGCAAGCCCTCAGAGAATAAACCATCATGTATCCTACTGGAGGAAAATACTAGAGGGAATACTCCAAGAGAGTGACAAATGAATCAAAACTGAAATTTCAAGCTTTGTGAAGGCAGAGAAGAAACAAAAGTATGTAAGGAGATATATCAAAGTATATTTATTGAAGCATTGTTTGGAAGAGTAAAACAAAACAACTCCCTCCCACCCTCCTCCCCCCAAAAAAACTGGAAATAATATTGGAACAGTTTAACAGATTATCATATAACCATACTATGGAATAATATTTGGTTATTAAAAAGAATGTATATTTCTATTAATCTGGAGAGATGTCTATGATATATTATGTGACAAAGAAAGCCACAGAATGTGTAGAGTATGCATCCCTTTTAAAGAAACAAACAAAACATCTTTGTGTGTGTTTGTAGGAGCAGTGAGAAAGATGTTATTAGAAAGATACACAACTGACTGTTAACAAAAGTTACTTCTGGGGGTAGGAATCAAGGGGCACCACCAGGAGATTAACTGTTTCTTTATACATTTTAGGATTATTTCAACTGTTACAATAAGAATGTTGTACTTTTATAATACAAAAGTATCTAATGAAGAAAGTTGAAAAGAAAAACAAAAGGAATTCACCAGTGTTAATAACATTACCAGCAGCAACAGTTATTCACTTCCTTACCACTATGAGTCAAGTAATGATTTATAAAAGTTTTCCCAAGATCCTGGAAACGCTCAAGAATTGAAGGGACCAGGTATCTCTGAAGGCAGAACTGTAGAGTAGGGCTGGAAACAGGGAAATTAGTGGAAATTTATGCAAGGAGTTGCTAGATCCCTAAATTACATCCCCAATTTGTACAACAAGGTGACTGCCCCCAGACCAGCAAAGGACCTAGCCCAGGAGAGGAGACCTAAAGATAGTGACAATTTGAAGTCCCCAATGAAGCAGCCTGCCCATTGTGAGGCCCAGCACGCAACAACTCCCACCACCACCCAGAATGAGCTTCCAAACACTGGATTTTTGGAATCTCAACCTTAAATATGAGTGAAGAGTCAAAAATCACCAGATATTTGAGAGCCTCTAACAAAAAAGGCAGAGCCCCAAACAAATCAACCAGCAAACAAAGTGAGTCTGAGAAAACAGAGGCAATGTAGGAAGCTTGAGACACTCTAAAATCTAATTATATTTAATGTCTTCAGAGAGATAAAAATATCACATCTATGAAATGTATGTGTATGCACATGCATACACACACACACACACACACACATACACACACCCCTTAGGAAAAAGCTCATATAAATTAAAAAAAAAAAAGAAGAGGAGCAGAAATAAAAATGTAACAGAAGAGTTAGAAGGACAAATTAAAGCAATCCTCTAGAAAGTAGAACAAAAAGATAAATGGAAAACAGAGGAAAAGAATCAATTCAAGAAGCAAATACATAACCTTTTAAAATGTTTAAAAAGAAACAACAGCAGAGAAAAATGAGGGAAGAAAATTATAAACAGTACAAGAAAATCTCCCAGAAGTGACGACAAGTTTCTTCAGTTTCAAACTGTATGAGCCAGTGCAACAGACTGAGAAAGATGCACCCTAAGCTCAGGATGGTGAAATTCAAACAAACAAATAAAATGGGGGAAAAGGGATGATCCCAAAAGTTTCCAGAGAGAAAAAGCATGTCATACACAACGGATCAGAAATTTTTAACTGGCACTGGACTTAAAAAGCAAAACTGAAAATAATGCTTTCAATAACGTAATTATTTCTAAACAAGAATATTATACCTAACTAAATGATGAACCAAGAATATGAGCAGAATAAAGACTTTTTAGACATGAAAGTCCAAAAAAAAATTACCTCCTGTTCTTTCTCAGGAAGCTACTAAAGGATGTGGTCCACCATAATGAGGGAATTAGGAAAGTGGAAGACAATGAAGCAAAGAAACAGGTAATCTAATAAAGGAGATTACTTCAGAATAATGGTAATGGGATGCCCCAGGACCAGAACAGTGTAGCAGGCCTAGAGAACAACCAGTCAAGATCAGAGCAGAAAGAAGAGGACCAATGGAGAGATAAGTCGGAAAAAAAAAAAAAAAAATTACTATAGATTGTATGATATATTTGACCACACTGAAGAGTTTTAGATTCTGTCAGAGAGTTGGGAATATATTAGTGACAGGTACATAAAAATTAAATGAATGAAAAAGGGGGCTATTATTAATTCCAAAGTATTGGCGGGGGGTGTTGAACAAGAAAGGAAATCTAATTCTAGCATACTATGGAGCTTAGCTATGAATAATACTTATATAGTCATATTATAAATACAGAAATAACAAACCAGAGGAAAGGGGAGGGAAGTGTGTGTGTGTATAGTGGAAAATAAAATTCTACAACTGAAAAATCAAGAGATAGCAGTCCATAGTATACCACTTAGATATATGGAGATAAATAGAAAGCTAGAAGAACTGGAAATGTTAGAGCAGTTATCACTACCTGATATTTTTGTCTTTCTGACTTTATCACTCATTCATTCATTTAACAAGCATCTACTGAGAGCCTACTATGTGTCAGGTACCATTCTAGACCTTGGGGACAAAGCAGTGAACAACAAAAAATATCCCTGCCCTTACAGAGCTTACATTGTAGTGAGCAGAAATAAGCCATAAAGAAATTAAACAAATAAAATCTATAGTGCAGCAGACAGTGGTAGGTACTGTGAAGAAAAATGGAGCAGTTAATGAGGATAGGGGATACTGGGATGGCAAGGGAGCTGAACTTGTAAATAAATGGTCAGGAAAGACCTTCCTGAGAAAGTGACATCTGAACAAAGGAATGAAAACACACATGATTCAGACCACAGGTGGCAATGACATTACAGATTATCTACTAACAGCCAGGCGCCGTACTAGACATTTTATTCATATTATCTTTAATCTGCACAACAATCCTGCAATCTTAGCATCAGTCCTATGTTTTTAAACAGATAAAAAAATGAAGGCTCCAAAAAATTAAAGTAACTTATCCAAGAACAGATCTAGTAAGTAGCACAGGTAGGTTTCAAACCTGGAAGTGGCGAGAAGTAGAAGGATTCTGGGTGTGTTTTGAAGGCAGAGCCAAAAGAACTCTGATGGACTGGATGTGGGGTATGAGAGTCAAGGAGGACTACAAGATATGCAACTGGTACGTAAGCTCCATGATGGCCAAGTCTTTATTTGTCATGTTCATTGTTATATCCCTAGCTCCTGGCACATATGAGATACTCAATAAATATTAGTTGAATAAATTAATGCTTGTCTCTGGCAAATGGAACCAATAGTGGGGAAGGAGGGACATGCGGCTACTATTTTTTATTATAAAGGCACATTACATTGATAAATCAAAAATTAAGTAAAAAAAAAAAAATCTTTACTCAGGAAATCTAAAGTTACACAGCGATATCACCTTCACAATACATTGAATTTTTGACCCAAAAAATAAAAAGAGCACTCCGTGTCATTAGTTTTTATTCATAATTTTTCAGTTTAGGTGTATATCTATGATAGAATATGATACATTTAAAATGTGGTTGGTTTTAACCTTTATCTAAAGTACAATAAAAAAATTCTTTAAAAAATGTAGTTAGTTTGAAAATAAATTCACTTTTCAAGGTATTTTTAAATGAGTATGACGGTCTTCTATAAAGTAATAGAACCCAACCTAGGCTGAGAAATCTGAGGCCAATCTTTGAATCATATATGCCTCTGTTTTTAAAACCGGGACTATCACCATCTCCTGCCCACTCAGACTCACAAGTGGATAAAGAATATTAAAAAATAATTTCCATAAAGCACTTTGTATTCCTTGGAGAATGGATATTATCATCATACATTATGTTATTATCTTGTTGAGTATGCATGATTTCCAGTACCACATAAAGTATATCTAGATATACTTTCCCATCTCATTCCATCATTTGGAGTCAAGCTGAGTCAAACAAGGCTGTTGTTACTTCAAGGGTCAAATACTCAGAGGCAAAACATAAGTTCCAAATAATATATAACGCTTTTAAGGTGATAAATCATTGATGTGCTTACTGGCACTTCAACTTTCTTACCTATTTTATGAACTAAACTCAATCACTTATTTTTCAAACAACAGATGATACATTTAGAGTTTGAGAATAAATTTATAAATATTAAAAATATTAGTTATTCCCAATAAATCAATGCTAAAGTCTAAATTCAGCTGTGTACATACTAAAATGCTGCTCCAAAAGGATAACTCTTTACATATGGAATACGCAAAACTATTATTTGACATTTAAATTTTAGATTTACTTATGGAAGTAATTATAAGTAGCTTTATACTCAATGAAATTTCAGTTGAAACAAAGGGAAATACTGAAATAAAAGACCTTCAAATTGTTTTTTGCTTTTTAAGTAGTGCGGTGTGATTGATTACTTTTGTGTGGCCTTTCTAGCCATTGTCTTGTAACTCCTAGCCAGGTGACTGCATGATAGGGTAATTACAGCCTACCAAGAGGTTTGGTCAGTTTTGCCTTAAAAGAGAGCCAATTCCAGAGTAGAGAGGAAGAGCTAACCACCACCAAGAAGGAGAGACCAGCAGCAGAGACCCAGTAGCAGGAGCAGCAGGTGACAGCACGTGTGTGGGCTTCCCAGCCCACAAAGAAAGCTGAATACCTCTGGGTAGAGACTGAGGGCCAGGAAGAGGCTATCCGATAGAAAAACTGTATCCTGAGTATTTCTGAGCCGGAAGTGTTTAACTGTTCCTTCCCTACTAAACCCCATAATTGTGAGTATGGTCTGTGAGTTCTGTCTGGCCACCGCAATGAATTATCAAACCCAGTAGAGAGTGCTGTGGGAGGTATGGTTGGTGTCAGAATTAGTAAAGATGGCAGAGAAAGGAGGCTTGTCTGGCCTCCACCTCATGGGAGTCAGCCTTGTGCTGTCGATCTTGGTTCTCATTCCCCCTTGTGGGGTTGGCAGATGTCAGACACCTCCCCCTAAGCCATTTTCACAAGCAGCAAAATAATAGTAGCAGTGATTCAATGATCTTCAAATTTTCCTATCCTATGAGGCACCCAGGAGCCCTGCTGGCACAGTGGTTAAGAGCTGTGGCTGCTAATCAAAAGGTCAACAGTTCGAATCCACCAGCCACTCCTTGGAAACCCTATGTGGCAGTTCTACTCTGTCCCAAAGGGTCGCTACAAGTCAGAATTGACTTCACGGCAATGAGGTTGTTTTTAAAAATTTTTTATGAGGTACTCAAAATTTTTCTGCCCATATTAAACCAGGGGAAGAAAAAAAGAAAAACCAACCTCACTGCTGTCGAGTTGACTCTGACTCATAGTAACCCTACAGGACAGAGCAGAACTGCCCCATAGGGTTTCCAAGGCTGTAAACCTTGGTGGAAGCAGACTGCCACATCTTTCTCCTGCAGAGCAGCTGGTGGGTTCGAATGGGCAACCTTCAGTTAACAGCTGAGTGTGTAACCACTGTGCCACCAGGGCTCCTTATACCCATATTACCAGCGCTTAAATAGGCCAGGTCTGAACTGAAAAGCTTAATTAAGGCAGCCAGGCCCTAGAAGATCAGACAGAAAGGAGAGGGAAATAAAAGGAAGAAAGAAAGGAAAAGGGTTACAAGGAAACTTTAAGAAGCCCTAGTAACAAGTGATTCAGGCCTCATGTGCTGATGAAAGGGAAGCAAATCACAAGGGAGATATTTTAGTCAACAATCAGGCAATTCTGTGAAAACTTTGTTCAGATGGAGGACTCAAAAACATGCAATGCAAACAAAATTCCAGTACATTGTAACTGCATATTATTACAAAAGATTATAATGTGTTAAGATTATTATTAAATAAATGAGAGGAACATATTATAAATAAAATAAGAATCCATGAGTCCCTACGGACATAAATACTTAGGAAATGAACACTGAAATATTTAGAGGTAAAAGGGCATCATGTCTGCAACTTACTTTCAAGTAGTTTAGAAAAACAAACGTGAAAAAGCAAACGTGGCAAAATGTTAACATTCAGGGAATCTGGGTAAAGGGTATATGAGAATTCTTTCTGCTATTCTTTGCAATTCTTTGTGCTATTCTTGAAGCACTTACTGATGAAGAGCAAAGACTACAGCCTTCAGTATGGATTACACCTCAACATAAAGAAAATAAAAATCCTCACAACTGGACCAATAAGCAACATCATGATAAACGGAGAAAAGACTGAAGTTGTAAAGGATTTCATTTTACATGGATCCACAATCAACTCCTACGGAAGCAGCAGTCAAGAAACCAAATGATACATTGCACTGGGCAAATCTGCTGCAAAAGACCTCTTTCAAGTGTTAAAAAGCAAAGATGTCACTTTGAGGACTAAGGTGTGCCTGACCCAAGTCATGGTATTTTCAATCACCTCATATGCATGTGAAAGCTGGACAACGAATAAGAAAGACCAAAGAGGAATTGATGCCTTTGAATTATAGTATTGGCAAAGAATATTAAATGGACTGCCAGAAGAATGAACAACTCTGTCTTGGAAGAAGTACAACCAGAATGCTCCTTAAAAGCAAGGATGGCAAGACTTCATCTTGCATAGTTTGAACACACTTTCTCCAGTCCCTGGAGAAAGATATCATACTTGGTAAATTACAGGATCAGTGAAAAAGAGGAAGACCCTCAACAAGATGGCTGAAACAGTGGCTTCAACAATGGTCTCAAACATAGCAACAATTGTGAGGATGGCGCAGGACCAGGCAGTGTTCCATTCTGTTGTATACAGGGTCGCTATGGGTCAGAATCGACTCAACGGCACCTAACAACACTCTTTGCAACTTTTCTGAAGTCCGAAATTATGTTTAAGTAAGAAGTAAAAAAGTAGTATTAATAGTACAGCTACCATTTACAGATTACCTACTATCAGCCAGGCATTTTACTCATATTTTTTTAAATCTTCACAGCAATCTTACAGGGTACATATTATTATCAATCCTGTATTTTTAAACAGATAAGAAAATGAACGCTCCAAAGGTTAGAGAAACTTATCCAAGAACAGAGACCTAGTAAGTAGCACAGCCAAGTTTCAAACCACAAAGCTTGCACTCTTTCCTGTTGCCGCTGAGTTGATTTTGACTCACAGTGACCCTATAGGATAGAGTAGAACTGCCCCATAGGGTTTTCAAGAAGTGGCTGGTGGATTTGAACCGCCAACCATTTTAGTTAGCAGCTGAGCTGTTAACCACTGTGGCCCAGGGCTCTGTACTCCTTCCACAAGCTGGTAAATAAATGAATGGTTTAGAGAGAACTCCAGTCATAGGGTTAGACAGCCTTGGGTTTGAGAATCTGAATCATCAATACTATTTATTAATCATGTTACCCTGGGAAAATTATTTATCTGAATTTCTTTTTTGGAGATATGAATAATGATTAATGCCTATCGCCTAGATAACTGAGAAGATTACATAAAATAACACATGCAAAGCAGTTTGGCACAGTACAGAGGCCTACGGTAAGAACATAAATGTTTGTTGTTCACTAAACTGCCTCCAAGTACTTCATTCTATCTTTCCTGAAAAATAACACATTACATACTATCTAAAGCATAGAATTTAACTTACTTTTTTACTGCCATAAAATAGGTATTTAAAAACTTATCAAACCTAGAGAATTAAGCAGTTCAAACCAAAAAATAAACGCTTCTTATTTTAAGCAAGAAAACAAACTGCTTCATCATTATAGATAATACTAAATACAACTGCAGCGGATTTTGTATAGCTGCTGCGACAGAAACCAAGTCTGTATAAATAGTATAAGATATTAACCAAATCACACATATAAGAGTATTTTCCATCAAAAAGTGAGAATAAAGAGTTTGAGGCTGAAAACGTTAAGTATGAGTTAACTGGAAATTGACTTTAACCCTAGTTATAGGGTTAACCTAATTGGCTCACTAAATTTATGTGCAAACAATAAAGTAAAAAATTATTCCTACCTTATTGTCTCTTCTATTAGACGATCTGAGCTGCAAATAAAGAGAAAATACATTCTGGATTATACACATTCAAAACTTGTATTTAATTTTTCTACATTTATAGATACAATTTTTTTTTAAAAACTTTTTAGCCATTTATGTACACAGAAAACCCAAACTTTCAAAAACATCTAAACAAAATTCTGGATTCTGAAATAAACTTAATTTATTCATATGTAATTTTTTGTCTTATTTTTATTTGTTACTTTAATCTTTTTCCCACAGAGATACTTGATGATTAAAGTCAGAACAGCTTTAATGACGGCATAAAGAAATGAAATCTCTAATTTAGATAGCTCAGAGTTGTCACCATCATCTATTCAAAACCTAAGAACTACAACTAAGTTGTTGAGACAGGACAGATAATACACTTCTGATACCTATAAGAAGGAATTATTTATACCTCGAAGCTCCTTCCCACGGTTTTTTCGGAAGCTAAACCATATCTCTGCCTACCACACTTAAGAATTCAAGAATCTGAATGACAACAAATGTACCCTTGATCTGCAAAGTGTTTGTCTTTATGTAACACACACTGGAAGTAAACAAACAAAAGCCATTCTGGGGCAAATTTATAGGTAGCTAAAGAGGCAGCTTTACAGCATTAAGTAGAAAAATAAATGTGCAAACCTCTGTATTTGGCATCATACAAAGTATACAGTAAGCACTTAAATAAACACTTTTTTTTTCCTAACTACTTCCTTCCAAAAGAATTTCTAAATTCATTCTATAAACCAATAAATTGTGTTTCATTATAAAGTGGTAAACGAGGGAATCTAAGTTATTATATAAATTAGGGAACAAAGATGAGCTTTTAAAATGTCATAAATACTTTACATAAGTCTTGTGATTAAGAATTTAAAAAACTTACAACTATCTGATGTTAGGCAAGTTACTATGCTGCCTTAGTTTTCTCATGTGTAAAATGGCAATGATAATAATACTTACCTGTGAAGAGGATTAAAAAAGTTTGTATCTATAGTGATTAGAATAGTACCTGGCACATAGTAAGCACCAGGTGATTTTTGCTCTAATTACAGTAGTTTATTAATTATTACAGGCTGATTCTAAATCTGAACATAAAGTTGAAATAAATTCCCTGATAAACCCACTGTTCTGGTGAAATTTACTGATTATTAAGTATGCAGTTATTCTGTTAACAAATACGTATGGACAAAGATAAGGCATTAACGTCCACAGATCTCACGATGGAGACGGGCAACACATATGCCAACAGGCGTCTTGGTAGAGTGGTCACAGGTCACAAAAGAAAGAGTGGTTAACTATGTTGTTGTTAGGTGCTGTTGAGTCAATTCTACAGAACAGAGTAGAACTGCCCTACAGGGTTTTCTTGGCTATAATCTTTACGGCAGCAGACTGCCAGTCTTTTTCTCCCACGAGGAGCCCTGGCGGCACAATCTTAAGAGCTTAGGCTGCTAACCAAAAAGTCAGCAGTTTGAATCTACCAGCTGTTGCTTGGAAACCCTATGGGGCAGTTCTACTCGGTCCTATAGGGTTGCTATGAGTTGGAATCTACTTGATGGTGAGGGGTTTTTTTTGTTTGTTTGTTTTTATCCTACATTTCAGTTAGCAGCCAAGCGCTTAACCACTGCGCCATCAGGGCTCCTTTGGTTAACTACACCTGGGTTAATACTTCCTCGTTCAACACAATTGTTTGGTAGACTGTCCTCACCAGGGCCTCTTAGTAGATCAAATGGCATAGAACGAAGATATTTAAAAATCCAGACAGTATAATATGAAAATAAATTATTCTATTGCCAAGCTTGACAAACTAGTTTTGGGGTAACAGCCTTAATAAAGATAAAATCATCAATTAAATAAACTTCTAAATTGAGTACAAGACTAGACAATCTATTCATTTCCTCCTTTTGTTAAAAATAATGATCGCTAATACTTATTGAGAGCTTATTATGATCCTACTACTGTTCTAAATACCTTAGTTGTTTAAATTTCATCCTCACAACAATTCTGAGATTAATTTATCATTATCTTTATTTGCAGATAAGGAAATTGAGGCCTAGAGAATGAGTAACTTGCCTTAAAAAAAAAACCAAACCCGTGCCGTGGAGTTGATTCCGACTCACAGCAATCCTGTAGGACAGGGTAGAACTGCCCCATAGTTTCCAAGGAGCAGCTGGTGGATTCGAACTGCCGACCTTTTTGTTAGCAGCTGAGCTCTTAACCACTGCACCACCAGGGCTCAAGAGTCACACAACTAGCGGCAGAGCTAGTATTCAAACTCAAGTAGCCTGACTTCAGAGATCTGGCTCTTACCGTCTCAACAAATGACAGATAGCTCTTGTCCCCTCTTCTTTCTCCACATTCAGTTCTAGTTTTTCCCTGCCACTTCTAGACTTGTCCCTATTCTAGCAAAAATCTATTCTCTGAGGTTCATTCCATGTCTCTACCCTTCTTCTTCCTTTCATCTAGCAACCTGTGGGTCACTGGAGGGTCTGGTTTTCAGTTGTCTTCTTCACTCCAAATTTTATCATCATCCTAGACAATTTATATAACTATAGAGGACAGACTATCCATACTCTAGACTCAGTTCCTTGACCTCTTTCACTCTAAAGAATGAATGCATGAATGATCCTACAATTTCTTTAGTGTTTCTCAGATTTAGTAACTCCTCTACTTTCCACAGTTATCATTTAATTTTCATCATAATTACCAGCTAAAAGTCTCCCTAAAAGGTTCTCGGATAATTAAAATTAACTCAATTCCCCTGATTTCCAAAAACTTAAAATGGAATTCAGCAATACCGAAAAAGAATTATATACCACAGTTAAGTAGGAACCAGGGATACAAGGCTGGTTCAATATCTGAAAATCATTCAATGTAATCCACCAAAAATTAAAAATACAAAACCATTTACAATTATTTTTTAAAGTGAAATATTTAGATGTAAATCTAACAAAACCTGCATAGGGCTTACGTGCTGCAAATTACAAAATACTGATGAAAGAAATCAAAGAAGGTATAAATAAATTGAGAGACATACCATGCTCATGAATTAGAAGAGTCAACATAATAGAGATGTCAACTCTCTAACGCTTTAAAATTTGTTTTATTTTTGTTGTTGCTGAGAATATACACAGAACATACACCAATTCAACAATTTCTACATGTAAAATTCAGTGACATTGATTAGATTCTTTGAATTGTACGACCATTCTCACCCTTCTTTTCTTTTCTTTTCTTTTTCTTTTTATTAAGTATGATAGACAGTAACAGCTAAAGGTTCATGGTTCATGTAATTCACACATGCTACCTCAGTTCATCCTCATAGCAACCTGTTAAAGTATTTGAAGACCGGTATTGATCAAATCTTTCAGAGAGAGACTATAAGATGGAAAGCAGATACACATTTTTCCCTGGAGAAGATAATCAACAGCTAGTAAGTGGTAGAAGCAGGATCTTAATCACTATGCCATATTCTTTACAAGGGAGTAAGCTTTTATTACCACCTTATGTGAGCTTGAAGCTGCTCTACTTATGGGGGTGGGGGTGAGGAGACAGGAAAAACAAACCAGCACATTTCTCAAACTGGGCATTCTTTTGGATGGGTGAGTTTTGCTTCAGTTCTGTTAAATGTTTTGATTTCACCTGTCCGTTTTAAGAGAATGGTATTGTCTTAGTCATCTAGTGCTGCCATAACAGAAATACCAGAAGTGGATGGTTTTAACGAAGAGAAATTTATTTCCTCACAGTCAAAGGCTAAGTCCAAATTCAGGGCATCAGCTCCAGGGGAAGTCTTTCTCTCTCTGTCAGCCTTCTCATCAGTGTTCCCCTGGACTAGGGGCTTCTTTGCACAGGGACCCTGGTCCAAAGGACCCGCTCTGCTCCTGGCACTGCTTTCTTGATGGTATGAGGTCCCCCTCACCGTTCTTTTCTGAATTGTTCCTACCAGTTAACGTAAACTCAATGACCCCTAAGCTGCCTAACTAATCTTTGGAGTTGCTGTTGTCAATTTGATCCCATACAGACAGGTCCAGAAATAGCACAGTGCCCAAGGCAGACATTCTTTACTAGGTAAGCTAAACCACTGTTTGGTTTTACAAAGACTTCCGGGGATATTTTTGGGTTAAGGTTTAAAGAATATCTCAGGGCAATAGCTTCAGGGATTTATCCAGCCTCATGGCTCCAGAAAGCATGAGATTCCTTCAAATTTTGAAATTCTGTTCTACATCTTCCCCTCCCTTTGATCAGGATTCTTCCATAGAATCTTTGAACAAAAATGTTCAATAATGGTAGGTGGGCACCATCCAGTTCTCTGGCCTCATGGCAAAGGGGGCAGTTGTTCATGGAGGCAATTAGCCACACACTGCAATTCCTCCTCCTATTCCTGACTCTCTTCCTCTGTTGCTGCAGGTAAATGAAGATCAATTGTTGTGCCCTGGATGGACACTTGGAAGCTTTTAAGACCCCAGGTACTACACAATGAACAAGGAGGTACAGCAGAAACACTAAACATGATACCAGGCCAATTAACTGGGATGTCCCATGAAACCATGACCCTAAACCTCCAAACCAAGGAAACAAATCCCATGAGGTATTTGGTTGTACATAAGCAGCCTCAGCAGCTACTCTTTTCTTTTTTTTTCTGTCATTGATGTAAATGTATCTATCACACAACTTTTGCCAATTCAACTTTTTACAAGTGTACAACTTAATGACAGCAATTACATAAATTGGTTGTGCAACCCTAACCTTAATCAGTACAATTTTTCTATCACCGTAAACTGAAACTCAGTGCTCCATCAGCAATAACTCCCTTAATTCTCTATTTTGATACACAGGTCTAATGCAGTTCTTAGATTTAGAAAGATTATTCTAAAATTTATATGTAAAGTCAAAGAAATCTGAACAGCTAAACTAATTTTGAAAAAAGAAGAGTAAACGAGAGGAATCAGTTTATCCAACTTAACAACTTATTATATAGATAGCTATGGTAATCAAGACTGTGTGGT